TCCAATCCATTCCATAGATGTTCTCAAAATAAACAATAATTACTCCTCAAGTAAGAGGACTTGACAGCCCCATTTATCACACATAATTCATCCCAGGTTCATCTGGTAATTGGGGTGACCATCTGTGTTAGTTAATTGGGTATATACAGAGGAAAAACAAACTTCTATCTTAAGAAATGGAGGTAGTTTTGCAGCTTGGAGCCAGGTGCCCTCTGATGTTAAGCTCCTACCCTCCTCCAGAAGCTGGGAGAGGACAGCTATCTCCCCTGATGTTTACATTTCAAAGAGATGGTTCCCAGGTCCTTGAGAAAGATATTTCTTCATCATAAAGTTGATAAAAGACATATTTAGTCTTCAAAAGAATTAATATACACTTCAGAGGAGGAGGAAGTATTTAGAATGATAAACTTTCTAAAGTAAATACTCTGATACAAACGAGGAAAGAAGAATTTCTTCCCTTATCTTTAATAGGGAGAATTAAGCTTCTTATTCTTAATTTGTATTTGTCTTTACAAAGGTTAAGTTAAATTTGGTTTTTCATTTGACATTAGGCCTATTAACCACAATCTGGTTATCACAACTGTCATATCTCACTCAAAAATTTACATAAAACAACGTGGTCAGCAATATACTTTCAATTCTCTTTTTCTTTGAACTCATTGCATGGTTTTCTTTATCATGATTTATTATCTTGAACTAGTATTACCAGATGTTTGGAAATAGTAGTTGCCAAGACCACTTATTAGAATTGCAGTGTTTAGAAAATAGCGAATCTTTGTAGACCATTAGCAGCAGCAATAGTGGCAGAATCTTCTAACTTTACTTGGAAACCAAATCATGGCCGTCCTGTCCTCAGCTACCTTCTTAACCATCACTGTTAATTTATCAGTTCTAAAATGTTGGTGGATTCCAGGTCAAAGAGATATTTCTCTTCCCTGTTTGATTTATGTATGTCTCCACATCAGCATTTGAAAGCCAGTGTTATTGGAGGCTGTAAACCAATGTTTGTAGTAAGCTTATTAAATGTGTTTAATATTTCTGGTTCAATAAACTTACACAGATTATTCATTGAGTCTAGAATATGTTAACTTATGATCTTGTATTTATGATGCGCTTTCCATCTCCACGTAGATTTTGGGTCATCCCTCACCCAAAACCTATCATTGCCAGAAGTGTTGGCAGAAAAAGCTGCTCCAAAATTTACATATATGCAAACGTCCTGCTTCCTTTTCAGTTTACTCACTGGGGATTAGCAGAAGGTCTTAGGATGCCTGAGCACTTGTCTAACTTTGCTGTATTTGTGCAGGTGTGAAATTGGAGAGTGAAGGCTTGGGATGGAGTGGGCAACCTCTCCATCCAAGAGCTACCATTTGTGTAAACCACGACATGCTCTGGAGAATTGGGATCAGAGATGCAGTGATAGGTCATATCAGGATGCAGAGCTTTCCTGTGTTGAATACAGCAGACATCAGGATCATCTTTGCTGGCTATCTCAGCATTGCCTTGGGGGTCCCTGATGTGCCGCTGCTGGAGCAGTCATAAACATGGCTGTGCTGAAGGGAAAAGCATCCAACGCCTCATTTGTCATGCTCAGCTTATCTGGAGGTGGTCCTCACTTTAGTCTGATCACTATCCAACTTAAAAGACACTCAAAAACACAAGCTTTGGTTTTTCTTAAAATTATTATTGGAGAAAAAATATAGGTACAAAGTTATTAAGGAGGAAACAATTGCATTTGAGTAATATGTTATGTAATATTTTATAAATATAAGTTATGTAATATTTTAAATTATGTATCTTTCTCTCTTCCTCCCATTAGGGAAAATTATTAACAGTAACAGAAGAAACACAACCTTAAGACTTTAACCTCTCAGAAGGCAAAGGCTGGCCCTGTCCTCAGTGGAATCATACAAATAGCTGTTTGGGCAGATATTATGGGAAACATAATAAAGTTTCTTCAATCATAAAGGTCCTTCAAAAAGTTAAAAACAGAACTACCGTATGATTTAGTAATTCCACTTTTGAGTATGTTTCCAAAGGCAATAAAAGCAGTTATGTTGGAAACATATGTTTATTCCCATTTTCATTGCAGTATTATTCACAATAATCAAAATATTGAATCAAACCATGTATCTAATAACTAATGAATGGATGAGGAAATTGTGTTATATACATGGACAGTAGAATACTTACCCTTTAGCCTTTAAAAAAAGGAAACCCTGTCATGTATGACAACATGGTAAACCTGGAGAACATCATGTTGAGTGAAATAAGCCAGGCAGACAAAGACAAATATTTCATGATCTCTCTTATATGTGGAATCTAGAAAGGTTGAAGTCATAAACAAAGAATGAAATGGTGGCTACCAGGAGCCAGGGAATGAGAGGGAATTGAGATGTTGGTCAAAGGATACAAATTTCAGTTAAATAGGAGAAGTAAGTTCAGGAGGTCTATTGTACAACATGGTGACTATAGTTAATTCATTTTATTTTTGAAAATTGCTAAGAGACCAGACTTTCAGTGTTTTTAACCACAAAAAAATTATGTGAGGTAATGCATATATTAATTAGCTTTACTGACTCATTCCACTATGTCTACATGTTTCAAAACAACATGTTGTATAAGATAAATGTACACAGTTTTTATCAATTAAAAACACATTTAAAACCAGTATTTAATGAAGAATATTTTTTCACCTAAATATGTGTATTTTGGACAATTCTCTTTTTCCTTTTTTGGGTCAACTTTATAGAGGCATAATTAATTAAAATAAGTGTGTAGTTCAGCGACTTAAGACTGTTTTCCAATGTGGTTGCACATTTTGTATTCTCATCAGCAGTGTGTGAGCATTCCAATTACTTCATATTCTTTTCGACACTTGCAATATTTTGAAGTTTTTAAAAGTCCAGTATTTTAAATTTTATTTTTGGCCACCATAATGCATACGAAGTGGTATTCCGTGGGGAGAAGTTTTGAAAGCACTTAAATTTTGCCTTTCTTATTAAACTTTTAATTTAGTCATTTATTGTATATCAGCATGGACTCACATGCTGTTTTGTTCAGCAGATTTTAATTCATTATTTTAAAAATCAAAACAAAAAATATGGCTTTCCCTTTGGTTTCTTTTGCAGATGGCCACAATGCAGGTGTAATTGGTTTTCTGGCTGGAATATAAGTAAATATTTCAATTATCATAACAAAATATCAACTATGCCCTATACTCTATAAAACTCCAATGCTTATGAGCCTTTGTCTTAACATTTTCATTATTCTGAAGCCCCTTCTTCTAAACCCAGAAAAATTAATAGTTGAAAGATATGGTCTAAAGTCTTTCTAACAATCAGTTCTTCGAAACTTTCCACTCTACCATTTTAAGCTTCATTGAATCATTAGAAATTACTTCTCATCTATTTGACAGAATTAGAGCTTTATAATTCCTTACAATTTATCATTTTAAAGTATACTTCAAAATCATAGGTCCTAGCCAAAACTTCTGATCTCTTCATATTTCTCACAGTCTCAATACCATCCTTACTTGACCTCATTAAGTGTTGTAATACACATCTGTTCTTCAAGACTACCACTTCTTTCTTTGCTTTCTTTCCCCAGCTGCGTTCACTGAACAGATGGTTCATGTTACCCACTCTCTGGCTAGTCTGTCAATTCCCTCAACAACTTGACCAAGTCTCATAGTTAAGTGGGGAAACATTTGTTTTCTCTGCCTTGACCTTGGACTGCTGAATCTTGCTGAAGAAAATTTCAACCTTGCTCAAATCCTCAAAAACTCATGTTTCATGAAACCGGGTGGGACTCAGTACTGACAGGGAAGAATCTATAGGAGTAACTATGGAACCCTAAGAAAAGCTACTTTCTAGAAAATAAAAATGATCAATTCCTGGTTTTACACATATTGGTATACTTCAAAGTTGATTACAGATTCTTCTTTCTTCTAAATATCCTTTCTCCCTAGGATCTTATCTTTGCTTTTAGCTACAGTTACCATATTTATCCTAGTAACTCTAGAGTATTTATATTGAATAACACAAATTTAGAGCTTCAGATAATATTCTGTTTCTGAGATTTAGACTAATATCTTCAAGTGCCTGCCAGGCAAATCCATTTGAATCTTAAAAGTACCTCAAATTCAACAAGTACATATAGAAACCCGTGATCTTTTTTTCTCTCAAAAATAACAATGTTGGCCAGGCACGGTGGCTCACACCTGTAATCCTAGCACTTTGGAAGGCTGAGGCGGGCAGATCACTAGGTCAAGAGACCTTCCTGGCCAACATGGAGAAACCCTGTCTCTACAAAGAATACAAAAATTAGCTGGGTGTGGTGGCACACACCTGTAGTACCAGCTACTCTGGAGGCTGAGGCAGGAGAATCGCTTGAACCCAGGAGGCAGAGGTTGCAAATAAGCCGAGATTACCCCATTGCACTCCAGCCTGGGTGGCAGAGCGAGACTCTGTCTCAAACAACAACAAAGACAGCAACAACAACAACAACAACAACAACCACAACAACATTTTCTTCCATCCAACCAATGGCTAGGTCAGAAACCTGGATGTCTTTCTGCAGCTACTACTTCCTAAACAATTCCTCTGGGCTGTTTCTTTCTCTCCATTTCCACTCCCAATACTCAAATGGTTTCGTAATTTATATATAGCAACCACACTGTTTATTCCTCTCATCTACTGATATCAGAGTAGCCAGAGATGTATTTTCAAAATGCAGATATGATCATTTTATGCCCCTCTTTAACAAAAAACCTGTAATGAGCTTCTTATCCCTTTTAGCATAAAATAAAAAGTTCCCAATGTGGTTTACAAGGCTCCTCATGTTTGGGATCTGCCTTCTACTGCAGGCTCCTTATGAACCACTCTTGTTTTGAATTTTCCTTTCTACATGATTAATATATTTCTAAATTATTTTTTCTATATGTAACTGGACACTTCCCCTATACTGAGAGAAAAAAGGTAAAGCAAAAATTATTTAAGTAAGTCATTGTTTTATTGATAATGTATTTTATAGAATCACAAAATTTAGAAACATAAGAAGGATTTCAGGTATCACCTAAATTCAAAGAAATATGGGTTTCTAGGTTACTAAATTTGAAGAGAAAGTATGATTTGGTTTGGTTCATCTAAAACAGGTCACAAACAGAATTATGTATCAAATTTAGAAGATAGAGTATTAAAATATTCATCTTGATTTTTCCTCAAGGAGAATTTTTATGGAAGAAAAAGTAGGTATATGTGTGTTTATAAGGAGAAAGAGAGAAAGGCACGTTATTTCAATCATTAAGTTCTTGATGATTGACAAGAATGACACTATGAGATTGAAAAAATATGAGTCAAGAGAATCTGTTGTTGCCAGCAATCAGTTTACCAGAACGACTGTAGGTGAACATTTTGCCAAAAGGAGTGACAGACTAATTGCATCTAAGGGGATGAGAATCTGCCAAAGAAGAGGATGCTGTTGGTCTTATTTTGCCTGATGAAGAATAGGAAAGGGTGATTACAATGGAACTCTTCATTAGTTGGAGGAGGTGATGTGATTCCTGTTGTCACCCCGGTGGCAGCTGTAGCCTCCGCTCCCTCCTCAGTGACCTCCACAAAGGCCTTGTGTAGAACTTTAGATATCACGAGATTCCGGCTCCCAGCCATGCCTGAGAGGTCTGCATCACTGAAGACATCCACCATTCCCATGGTTCTCAATGTGTCCTTGAGATCATAGGCCTCTTCCACTTTGAACCGAGGTAAGCGTAAATTCACATCCACCTTTCTCATATTCTGCAAACTTGTCCATTTCATCAATTTTTCAGCAGTGAGTTTCTCTTCAAGCTATACAAATGGAAGAAAGAAACTGATATGACAACTAAAGATCCTAATACACCTTAACAATCAATTGACAATATGGAGAATCTTTATTTTGGCAATAAATGTAAAATACAGAAGATTCACTTTATTAGATATTATCCTAATGGGCAAAATGAGTCCTTAATATATAAATATGCTTGATTATATGTGTATATATATATGTATGTATATATGTATGTAAAAACAGAATCATGTTTTTACATATATGTAATGTGTATATGTCTGTAATCAAATGTATAACACATATGTAAAAATATGATTACATTATTTTCTACACAATGAATTATATATCATTATTTCTTGTGCCAACAGCCTACTACATATATCAGTTTTTAATAGGCTCTTATTTTCCTGTATACATTATTTAGTATCTATTGCGATTAGTATATACCCTAAATTTCTATTCCCTTTTTTGCTTGGTGTATTTGTCAACTTTCCTCACGTTGCTGTGTGTTTCTCCCATTCAAGGTTAAATTGCTGCATAATAATATCATCAAATTGATATCCAATGCATGTAACTATAATAAATTAATAATTAAGCCTTCGGTTCGTGTCAGGCCCTATGCTAAAATATTTGTAATATGAAGCAGAGTCATCATTCCTCATTTTGAATTTTTCATTATTTTGACGTAACTTGGTCACAAGCTTTTACCTTGTTTAAATTTGGTATCTTAGGAAAATGTCAGGAGTAGAAGGAAGAGTTGTAGATGCAAGCTTTTACCTTCTGCAGACCGTCCGTTTCATTTGGCAGCAGCACAATCATGCTTAGATCGTTGGCTTTGTACGGTATTTCCAGGACCTTTGCCTGTACATCCTCCAGCAAGGCAAAATGAAAGAACGTGTATTGCCTCATCATGTGTACAGGTTTGGATGTATTCTGCAAAAAATCAATGTGTCCAACAAGTACCAAATGAGACACAAGACAAAAAAGAAAATATTATTGAGATATCAACACATCCTTCTTCGTCTAAGAAATAATCCAGGAATTTAATGAGTTAGAGACAATAGTTTCTTCTGGTATTCCTAACTAAATCAAGTTATAAGACTAAAACAAAATAACAGACATGAAAACTTTTATTTTTTACTTGTCATGGTGCTTTCCATCAGAAATGTTTAAATTTAACATTCCATATATTAATATATTACGTTATATAAATAAAATATAGAGAATACCTTGTTTGGCCAAAATTTTTCCTCTTTAGTGTCTTCTTTATTAAATTTCGTCTCCCACTGCCCTTTGAAATAGATTGCATTCACAAGAACCAATTTGGTCATTCTGTTAATACTCTGATCAGGAAATAGGTTTTTAATTTTTTCTGCAAGGGAAAAAATAAGAGTCTTTTTTCTTTTTTTTTTCAAGACAGCGCTTTGCTCTTGTTGCTCGGGCTGGAGTGCAATGGTGTGATCTCAGCTCACCACAACCTCTGCCTCCCAAGTTCAAGCAATTCTCCTGTCTCAGCCTCCTGAATAGCTGGGATTTCAGGCATGTGCCACCACGCCTAGCTAATTTTGTATTTTTAGTAGAGATGGGGTTTCTCCATTTTGTTCAGGCTGGTTTCGAACTTCCAACCTCAGGTGATCCACCTGCCTCGTCCTCCCAAAGTGCTGGGATTACAGGTGTGAGCCACCACACCTGGCCTAAAAGAATCTTTTTACACAAGGTACAAATGGTTTGTCTGGAAGATACTTTGAAAATGTTCGTGATTGATCATTAATTATTCACCCAAATCCCTACTTTAGACTCACTAACTTTGATCTTTAAACCATTAGACTCACTGACCAATGGTTCACCAGATGCAGCTTTCTTCAAGGCTCCAGCTGGATAAAGTTAACCTTGGTGGAGACATCACTTCTTGTGATAGAGAAGGAGTTCAGGTTCTCTGTCTCTGAGTGACTCCAGTCATCTGACATGGAATACTGACAAACTGATTTTATCTACTCTTTCAAAATATCTCTTTCCTTTCTCCCTCTCTCCTCTTCCTGCCTTTTTTTTTTTAACTATGTAGTCCCAATTCAGAGGAAGTAGGCCCTGACTGCTTTTTAGGACAAGTGTTATGAGCTCTGTGATATGAAACACATGCCCTGTGCTGTCAGACATTACTTCCTGGGGTATCTTCCTATTCAGTCTCATGTTGACTTGCAGTAAGTGTGGTCTTTAATGAGAGGTGGGAGGTAGAATAGATGTCTATAGTATCTAGACTTTGTTCAGCTCTTTGCTCGTGATGGGGAGGACAGCTGTGATAATCCCTGCAGAACGTGTGAACAGAGATGTCGTCCAAGCAGCTCCAGCTCAGATGGCAAAAGGGTGATTTACTGGAGAGCTGCTTGTTCCCCAACTGGTAAAGGAGGAGGGAGACACTTTCTCATGTTTTCTTTTAAATATTCATCATAAAAAATGGCTCTGATTTAAAGAAAAGAATATGATCTCAAAATGGGCCTGAGCAGAGACAGGGGATCCGCAAAGCTATTATCATCCAGGGACATGTGCAAATAATTCTCCAGCTGTGTTTCCATCTAACTGGCTTCCTGTGATTTCCTCTTTGATTTCCCTAGGCTCGCTTCATATTCACGTAGACAAGTCCTTCACCTGCATTGCCCTCCTCTGCTCTCCCTGCAAACCCATCTCAGTCCCTATCCCTGGTCCCTCATGCAGTGTCAGGGACAGGGCTCACTAGCATAGGTTTCTCAAAGGTGTTTCTATAACGGATGGCTCTCCTACCATTCGTTTGACTTTCCACCCAGGAATTAATCTTCTTTCGACTTTCTTCTGGATCTTCTACAAAATCAACAGATTCCACACTGGTCTGGTAATATTTCTTGATGGCATCTAAATATTCCTTTGGGATAAGAAGAAAGAAAGTAGGAAGTAAGAGTAATTTATGTAACTATATATTACCAAATTTAGTGATTTATAATTATAATAACCTGAATCCAGACCCTGAAGAGATGCAGTATCTCCTGTCCATGCATATTTTTATACAGGTGCCATGCAAATAATACAAAATAAGAGTGTGGGTTGGCACAAGAAAGGGGTCACTGAAGGCCAATATCTGGCAAAAGGCAGAAGCAGAAGAGGCTGTGGTTTGCAAACTGCAGAGAAGGTTTTCCCGAAGGAGATTCATTGCTTCTGAGACCTCTCACCAGTAATTTCAACCATGACGTTTCTGACCTTAGTTTTTCTCTTTCATGCTGTACTTTCAGTATTTCCTCAACTATCCCCAGGAATTCACCCAAGCCTGCCCATTCCAGTAATATCCCATTAGCCATACATTTCCCACCAAGATGTATACTATGTGACTGAGTCAGTGCCAGTTCATCCATGGTGTTTTATTACCCAACCTCCTCCTCTTTAATTGCACTTCCCTGATAGATTGTCGGGGTCTGGGACACTCCAGTGGGAGAGACTTGTGGAAATGGAGCTAATGCACTCTGAGTAAATGCTCCCCACCTGCGTCAGTCAGACTCATGTGCCTTAGCTCTCTTCCACATGGCCAGTCAGAGACACGGACACCGGGCTGCAGATGAAAGATTCGTAGGCCAGTTGAAATTTACCTTTAAAAATTGATACATCTTTTCTCCGAAGAGCTTGTTGGCGATCTTCAGCTCATATGCATCAGTGGATTTGTTTAATTCAGTCAGAAGCTTTTGAAACTGCTGGTGAACATTTCCTGACTTATCAACCTTCAAATGTCAGAAAAGGAGCTCATTGAATTACTGTATCAATGTAAATACTAAACCCATGCTAAGTGTGTTAGATCAATCCCTAAAGGCTAGTAGTCTCAATGATGACCTTTGTGCTTATTTCCTGATACTTGGTATATTTTACCTCAAACACCCTTCAAAATACACATTATGTTTGACTTCTTCCAGAAAATTCTTCCTGCTCTAAAGTACTCCAATCTTTTCTCTTCTGAACTAAAGCTGCAGCACTGCCTACCACTGGATTTTCCCCTTGTTGATTTAAATGGTTAAGTTTAGCTTCCCAGTTAGACTTTCAGCTCTTTAAGAGCAAGGACCATATTTCACTTCTAACAACCATCAAGGATGTGAGTATGTTGAAGTTTGGATATTTTAAATAGATTATATCCCTGTTATACCTCTTGGTGGTATCACCTTGTAAGACACATTGATCTATGGCGCTTTCCTCATGATGGTCATTCTCTGCACGTAATAACACTGTGTGCCAGGTACTTGGCTAAGGGTTTTATGTGGGCAATTCTTAAGTCTTTAGTTAAATTCAAATGAAAACAAAAAAGCTCAGAGAATTAAAAAAAAACACACCAAACCTCTTTATAGAGACATACATTAGAAGTGCCAAGTTTTGAACCTAAGCCTGTTTAAATCTAGAATCTTCTACTTTCCAGCAAGGCATTTTGCACTATTAAGGCTCTAAACCAATATATTCCATAGCAATCATTTTCCAGAATATACTGGACTTGTGCTTATTCCTCTTAATCTCATTAGTGACTCAATTAAAATTAAATTATTTTTGCAACATTATTGTGATTAGTATATGATAGCTATTTTACAATAATAATATTCATTATGACTTTCTATGGGCAAGGCATTTGCAGTAAATGTTTCCATGTATTTGCATGTATTGAGTCAGATTTTTTATTACCCTTTGTTTTCTGGGATGATGTCACTGGAACTCCAAGCACTGTGTCCTGCCTGTGTTCACCATTCGTGAAGAGCAAAGCTGGAATTTGAACCCAGCCTATACTGGTCCAAACCTATGCTCTGAAGTACAGTGCTGTCTTTCAGTAACGCAAAGATTTGGAACAATAATTATGTGCCATGAATTGCCAAATCACTCTGTATGTCTCAATCTTTTTGTCCAGGATTTCCCCTAAAAACTAAGTTTTTCTTAGTTTCTGTGAAGTTCCAGGTTTAAACTATGACCTGCTCAGGTATCTGAAGCTGAACCAAAGTACTCTGTGGCTCACCTGGTATGTGGCAGCTTTCTCTGTCTCTGTGACTTGATCAAAGTGAAGAACCTGGAAGAGACAGGAAGCAGGACAAGAGAACTTTGCTCAAAAGATCTGTTTAAGTCAGTGGCCTCACAGTAATGGGAATTCCTGCTCAGGCCCCTGTGCTACCCGTCAGGCCACCAGATCTGTTACCATCTGCGTGCTAGCTGACAGAACTACAGAGAAAAACTGTAACAGGTCAACGTAATGAAGCTGATACCTACCTTGTTAATTTGTTGTGCAGTGTTTTCTTTGGCCCCTAAGAGGACCATCCCTAATGCTGTTGTGATGCTGATAGGGGAATAGAAAATGTTGTTCTTTTTTGATTTTCTGAACTGTTGGAATAGGTCGAACAAGAACTGGGTGTTGGCCTCACTGAGGGAATTCATGGTGAACCTGATGTGATCTGGAACTCCTGGAAAAGCATCAAATTCCTTTCAGAATGACTTTCACAAATGGAGTGTCATTTTATAGTACAATTTTCTTAAAGAAAATGACATATCTGGGTTGTGGGAGTTTGACAAAGTTTTTCTTTCTTACTTTTTAATGTTTCAAGCTTTCTACAATGTGCATATATTAAATACAATAATCTCATAATTAGAAGACTCACAAGATTATTGTTTGCAAAGACTATTGTAAATAAGTAATAGACCATCTTTATCTTTCCTTCATTGCTGTCTACACTAGGGCTAGGTAGGAAGTCTTTATAATGACTGCTAAGAGGAAACCTCTGTGGATCGTATCCAATCAGCTCTTAAGAGACATCCCTGATGTTTCCATCAAGGCTTTGTGGCTGCTGGGCACTTTCCTTCTGTGTTCCTAAGGGTGTTTTTGCTTACATGGAAATAAGCAATTTAGATAAAGGACGAATCAGCTGAAATAGGCATTTTAATTTTGCCCGGACGGAATAAGTAAAATATAATCAGACAGATCGAAGGAAATGCATGATATAGAACATAGTATCATTATTATGCTAAAAAGTAATTTATATTATTAAGCTGGAGTGGCTTGAAGCACTTACCTGCGTTCCTAGAGGAAACAGAGGTGGACAGGGAGCCTGTGCGTGTCTGTGGAATGAACGGTGAGCTCCTGAATTTATGCCTCTCCTCTTGCTGCCTGTGGTTGGTATTTTGTTACTCAGTTTCAGATTTCGCAAGCAGGCTAACATTCACCTTCTGAGTATGAAAACTTATGACACAGGACAGGATTACTGTTCTACCACTGTAACTCCTTTTTAATCTATGGGGAAAAATGCAAATCAGCAACCACTGGCTCATTCGAAATGCATGTAGATGCCTTTCTAATACCAGTGAGAATAAGGTTAGAATTCCAATTGCCCCTCGTTCATTTCAACTCCATCTCTTTGTATACTACGCCAGCTGTAAAAAACAAAAAAACGAAAGAACATTCTTTTCTTGGATGTTGAATTGTCTTTAAGGCATACGTTGAACACAAAACAACTAAAAAGCTTACATTTCCTGTTTTTCAGTTCTGAAAGTTTTTGTCATCCTATGAATTTCCTTAGCAGTTTTTCTGTAGAATGAGGAATATAGTTCTAATTCTAAGTCCAAAGAGATACTGAAGAAGTGTGCTTGAGTATCTCATAGCATACTATGGAGAACAGGATTCCATTGCCTTCTCCCGCATGCTCTGCTTTGGCAGTGATCCTACCAGTGCCCCTCGCAACTATCTCAGATGTTTTCTGTTGCATAGGGTCAGTGAGAATGTTATTGACCTTGCCGCGTCATATAGTTTGGCTGTGTCCCCACCCAAATCTTGACTTGAATTGTATCTCCCAGAATTCCCACTTGTGGTGAGAGGGACCCAGGAGGAGGTAATTGAATCATGGGGGCTGGTCTTTCCCATGCTATTCTCGTGATAGTTAAAAAGTCTCATGAGATCTGCTGGGTTTATCAGAGATTTCTGCTTTTGCTTCTTCCTCATTTTCTCTTGCTGACAACGTGTAAGAAGTATCTTTTACCTCCTGCCATGATTCTGAGGCCTTTCAAGTCATGTGGAAATGTAAGTCCAATTAAACCTCTTTTTCTTCCCAGTCTCAGGCGTGTCTTTGTCAGCAGCATGAAAACAGACTAACATACTGAGTTAACAGGCCAACACGGAGAAGAAAAATTGAAACAAACAGGAGCCATTTTGAATGGCAGCTTTCTAATTTTTTATTTAAAAATGAAGCAGAAAAATAAGTTGTTTGAGCTGTTAGGATCACAACATTTCTTGGTGGTCCTACCATTTAGCACCTGCCTTCAGACTTATTCCAGTGTTTCTTCTGGAATATCTTGTAATCTGAGGAATGTCTATGGCCAGGGAGAGGATTGCTGTCCAAGGCCATTTAATCCAATATCTCTGTCACTACCCGTGTAGGGAACTGTTTTGTGAACCCCCTTTTTATTGAGATATAATTTATATACCCTAAGGTTCACTATTTTCAACTGTACACTTCAGTGATTTTTAGTACATTCACAAAGTTGTGCTGTCACCATCATGATCTCATTCCACAATAATTTTACTACCTCCAAAAGAAACCTTGTCCTTCCTTTTTCCCTCTCTCAAGACCCTGGAAACCATGAATCTACCTCCTGTTTCTATGGATTTGTCTCTTGTAAACATTTCATATAAATGGAATCATACAGTACTTGTCCTTTTGCAATGGGGGCTCTTCTTTCACCAGAATTATTTTCAAAGTTCATCTATGTTGTCACACAAATCAGTGCATCATTCCTTTTTTGGGCTACTATTCCATTGAATGAATAGAACACATTTTCTTTATTCGTAAGTTGATGGACATTTGTGTTGTTTCTATCTTTTTGCTATTATGAAAATGATGCTCTGACCTTTCATGTACGTATATTTTCCATGGCATATGTCTTCATTTCTTTTCGGTATATACCTATGAATGAAATCACTCGGTCATATGGTAACTCTAGGTTAATGTTTCGAGGAAATGCCAGACTCTTTTCCATAGATGCTGCACAATTGTGCATTCCCACGAACCGTGAATAGAGCTCTGATTATTCCACGTCCTTCCCAACACTTGTTATTGTCATGTGCATTTTTTTTTTTTGAGACGGAGTTTCGATCTTGTTACCCAGGCTGGAGTGCAATGGCGCGATCTCGGCTCACCGCAACCTCTGCCTCCTGGGTTCAGGCAATTCTCCTGCCTCAGCCTCCTGAGTAGCTGGGATTACAGGCATGCCCCACCATGCCCAGCTAATTTTTTGTATTTTTAGTAGAGACAGGTTTTCACCATGTTGACCAGGATGGTCTCGATCTCTTGACCTCGTGATCCACCCGCCTTGGCCTCTCAAAGTTCTAGGATTACAGCATGTGCACTTTTTAACAGGAGCCATGGGTTTGTTTTCTCAGCACATCACAAAGTCATAGGCAGATTCATCTACAAGTTTCCAGAAACACATAGGATGGAATTAGGGGGTGGAAGGCAGAAAGGGAGCTGTGTTTCCAGTCGGAAAGTTTCCCACCTTCCTGTTTTCACAACCCCCAAGACATGCTGTTCTTAGGTCTCCTGTATCGATATATATAAATGTCTGAATGAGATTGGGAAGTATAAGTTCCCTGATTTAAGTTAGGGAATAGACTATTAGGGTGTTGATGAACTAAAAAGTCCAAAGATAGAAGAAAAAAAATAAGAGGAAATATCTGAGATGCAGAATTCCAAAAACGAAGAATGGTCTTCTCTGCTGAGTCTGTATCCAGGGCTATAAGACAAAAATGGATCTTCCTCTGTATGGAGTAGTCTGGGTTTACTTGGGTACCAAAGAGAAGGAATATAATGCCTATAGAACAGAAGCAAGAAGCTCAGCCTGGAAATGGAGGGAAAAAACAGGATAGCAAACTGAGACAAACTGGGGTTATAGGGAACCAATCTATGGAAGAGAATTTCAGACTATGGCTAAATATCCTGAGATACTGAGGTTTGTCATGAAGAGGTTGAACTTGAGGAAAGGTACCAACTGAAAATGACCAGGAGTTTGCTTATATTTAGAGAAAGCTTGGATTAGTTCAAATGAAAAGTCATTTCCAGCATTTTTTTTCTGTTCCTTAAAAGTGCTCCTGATCCCTCTACAAAGGCATGTCTATAGTTCCTTATCTTTGGACATGTAAATATTGGAGGCAAAGAAATGCGGACTTGGAGAAATCTGGGGACAGCTTGCTCTCTGCAGGCTCAAGATCAACCATCCCACACAGGAAAAAAAAAAGTGCTCCTGGCATGTGATAGACAGCATAGACAGGACATATCCTGATGTCATGTGTTGTCACAGAGAATGCCGCAATTCCAAGAAGTTTTTTGCATGTGAACATTTGCCAACTTATGTCTCTTGGTATTTCATAAACATACACTAAATTCATTGGCTCCAGGAATCCAGAAATTAAAAACAAATCCTCAATGGGAATTTACACTTTCAGGAAACATCCTGTCATTACTAATGCCTTTATAGATTGGTTAAGAAACATCTTCGGATTTTCCTGGAACTCACTTCCTTATGAAGGCTGTAAAGTTTTCTCAGCATTGTTAAGTTACAAATTAAAGAGGACATCTTATTTATTGTTTCTTACCTATGTGTTTGTGCCTGTCTATAGGGAAACTGGTTAGTGGAGGAGATTTTTCAAGCATTAAATAATAGAATATATGCCAATTACCTTATTCCCAAGGATCTCTCTACAGATATAGGTATGTGTATATTGAACAACCTCAGAACAAGATTAATTAACTTTCCTGTTTTAGTTTTCATGAGGGAAAACAACTCCAGTAAGATTTGAAGAGAGGGAAACAGTCTCATATGTATATACAGCTTAGCGCACAGACAAAATGATATTATCTCTTCCTTCTCTCCCTCCTTCTTACTCCACTAACACCAACAGGGACAGATATCATATTTACTGTATTTTTTTTTTTTTTTGAGATGGAGTTTCGCTCTTGTTACCCAGGCTGGAGTGCAATGGCGCGATCTCGGCTCAGCGCAACCTCCGCCCCCTGGGTTCAGGCAATTCTCCTGCCTCAGCCTCCTGAGTAGCTGGGATTACAGGCACGCGCCACCGTGCCCAGCTAATTTTTTGTAATTTTTAGTAGAGACGGGGTTTCACCATGTTGACCAGGATGGTCTCGATCTGTTGACCTCGTGATCCACCCGTCTCGGCCTCCCAAAGTGCTAGGATTACAACCAAACCAAATCTAATTCTGTCCCCTTGCTGATCTCTTATAATTCTCTTCCTGATTCCTCTTGGCCTTCTTTTTCTATTCCTAAGAAACATCATATATTGATGTTCTCCCTTTTACTAGAACTGTCTTTCTTCCTCCTTGCTTTATCTGCACTGTAGGTTTTCCCCAATGACTGCATGTCCCTTGATCTTTTCTCATGGGCGTCTACTCACTCCCCTATTCTGATACTATGAACCCAGGAAGCAAGATCTCTCCTTTATTCCCACCACCTTTTCTAGCCATTGGTCTTCTCTGTCTTCCATGTCTTATTTTAATTTTTTTGACCATGCAGGTATATCAGGTACCTCCTACCATCTTCTATGCTGCTCCTTAAATTCACTAAGTAAACTGTTGACTCTCCACTCTTTATTCAAACTGCTTCAATTTTTCTGAGTGACTTCAAAGCATTCATTCGATTGGCACCAAACAGCCAATTTTGTTTTACATTTCTAGTTGAATTTCCTCTTGTGAATTGTCTTTCTTTTACCCTTTTGTTCATTGGAATCCCGGTGTTTTCTTGTGTACTTGAATATGATTTTTATAGAAAAACAATCTCAATTATTGTTGATGCTTGTCTTTGGAGTATCAATGGAGATGTGGAGTTCTAGAGACATAAAGAAATTTGCCCTCGTGGGGATGTGGCTGTGCTGGGTATCTTATTTTGCTTCTTCAGCTACACCTTTCATTCCTCTCTACCTCCTATGGGTTCTAAGAAGCTGAGTTGTACAGAGACATAATAAGGCTCCTGTGCTCTCTGACATCCAGTTAGATTTGGCCAATGGCAGGCACCAAGACTAGGTCAGCATTCGGTGAAAACAGTGCTGAACCAACGGTCTTCCTTTCTGTGAGGGTCACAAGGGATGTTTGCATTATTTTACCAAAGGTTACAGAG